TTGAGGGTGAGTGTTTGGTTGTTGTTGTTGGGTGTTCAGTTGTTGTTGTTGAAGAACATTTTGCATGGTAAGTGATAAGAAAAGAATTACAACACTGACAAAAGTTTGAAATAGAGTCTGATACTAAGAGTGCAAGATTTGAAACTGAGTCTGCTTTTGAGAGTGTATGTGATGCATCTCCTCCTTATTAGTTAAAACTCATTGTTTCAACCGAGTAATCTCTTACGAATTCTGAGATTGACTAGAAGATGCCCCCCATTTGATGTATAAAGCTACCCTCTCCATTCTCATAACTATGAACTAGATTACTTGTACCATAATGATGCCCCTTATATTTTCCACCAATAGCTGCATCCCAATACCGACCCTTAAGTCTCTCCTCCTCAACATGATTTATAAGGGTGCATTCTGAGGTACCAACAGTGGATCCAACTTCAAACCGAGCTTGAGAAAGTCTATTTTCAAAATCATCCTATTATCATTTTAAACATTATTTAAAAATCAAGTAAACATTAATAAAATTGAAAATAAATAGAACAGGCAACATAAGGGAATCACATGTGTTCGTCTAGATCTATCATCGAGAACTAACCAGTATCTTTCCATATTTGTTTGCCGAAAGACTTCATCAATATGTATAGGTCAACCAAGACCCTTTGCCTGCAAATAAAAAATTATATATATAATTAAGTGTTAAAGAAAGACCACTACAATATAAATATACCATGCAAAGGGCATGTTTGTGCATGCTGATTGAGCCCTATGTGTTCATGCACTCACCCTTTTCAGATGCTCAATTTTTTTGGACATGTATATACTTAGAACGATATATAGGTTCGTTCAAATGTTCTAATAGAATTTTTCACACATGATCTCCAATTCAGTCTGGTTTCCTATTGTTTTTTCGAACTTGCATAAACATATTAGAAAGTATATGAGAAGCTTTTGTGTTAAAATGCTTTTTGATATTACTTTCTGCTCTGGTCTCCATTTCACCTTCCTTTATTATAATACCAAAAAATAGTTAACAAGAAAATATATTAGTTACCAAATTAGCAAATCAGCAACCTAGGGTTAAAATCAATATCACCAAATGTATTTAGATCTTTCAAAAGTAAAAAAAAAATACAAAAATAACAATCAAATATTTTCCTATCACATGATGGTTCAGTTACATATGGATCAAATGATGTAGAAGTATTTTATTTCTATTTATATTTATCAAGTTCAAGATTATAATAAAATTAAACAAATATTTTATAAAACTTAATCTCCCTGTAATTTTTTATTAATAAAGTGTGTGATAACTAATAAATTGAAAAATATATGTTTGTATAGTTAGATCTAAACAACTAAAATAAGATTAAATCAAATAAACACAACACTTGGGAAATGACTTTGAACTATGAAATGACAACTTCAAATATTGCATTCCAAATTCTGATAAAATAAATAAGTTATAATGACATTTTCAATTTTGGTTAAACAGTTCACTTGTTTCTTATAATTGTATAAATTTTAAGTTTTAGTTCCTTTATGAAATAATAACTAGTTTAATTACTACACAAATTTTTGTACTAGCCACCCTACCATTTTGGTCCCATTGTCCCATAAATCTATAATAGAAATGACAATTCTAGTAAAAAAAACAAATACACACACAAAGTGAAAACAACATAGAAATATAAAACTCCAAACCCAATTTCATTCATTGTTATAAACCAAAGTTTAATTGATTTAAAATATCAGTCACCTATAATTGTATGAGTTTTAATTTTTAGTCTCATTATGAAATAACAACCAGTTTAAGATCTACATAGCCTACCATTTTGGTCCGATTGTCCCACAAATCTATAACAAAAATGACAATTCTAGCAAAAAAAAAATATACACAAAATAAAAATTACATAGAAATATAGAACTCCAAACCCAATTTCTTTCATTGTTATAAGCCACAGCTTAATTGATTTAAAATATTAATCAAATCACACACAAAAAATAGCACATTAATTAAACTGATCATACATATTGCATGAAATCTAATCTACTCGTCAGTTCTATACAAACTGATCATAAGCTTTGAGTTTGTATGACTATGTTTTACTTTATATGGTTGCAAAGTCACTATCTACATAACAAGGAAAAGAAAGAAGAAAAAAAAAAGAGACTAGTTGAAGTAGAAGGCTAAAGAGAGAGATATGGAATGATCTTTGTTTTCCACAAGTAAAGAGCATGCTTTATTATCACTTCTTTTAAAAGACATGTAAAATTTATATTAATAATATTCCTTTCTAGAAAAGACAATTTTTTCTCCTCAAGATGAATTAAAAAGGACAACAATTAATCTAATCATTGAATGCACAAGAAATAACATAAAGATATAGAATCTAGTTTGCATAGTTAAATAGCTCTTTTAACCCATTAAAACCAATAAATGAAAAAAAAATCATAATAAGTTCAAGGCTACTTTTTAGCTTTTAGAATAACAAATAAAGTGTAGTACAAATATTTTTTAAAAAGAAATATTCTAAGCATAAGGATTAAAAAATAGATATACACATACAATAAGCTAATTATGATATCATAAATAATTAATTTACAAGTAAGCATAGATATGTAACCATATATTTCAAAAACCATTAATTTACCTTAAAACATTGAAAAAATATTCTTATTAGCCTTGGGAATTGCTGCTTAATGGTCAATGTGATAGGCTTTACTACAGTCTTTCATGGGTTAAACCTAAATAGAAAAAAATGACATATAAACTTTACATATAATTAAAAAAGTATATAAATGCTTATTTTTACCTTTTACTAGTAGGTTCAATTAAGGGAAGATCATCAAGTGGTGGGTCCTTCTCATTTAAGTTTTCATCAACAGGTGGTGGATTAACATAGGGTGTGCCTGCAACAATTGGGGATAGAGATGGTGTGTATGTAATACCTAGGGATGGGATGGTGTAGAAGCTATAACTGTGGATGGGGATGGTGTAGAAGCTATAACTGAGGATGGAGATGGTGTGGATGCTACAACTGAGAATGTGGATGGTGTAGGTGTAACAAAAGTGGATGGGGTAGATGGTGTCAAGTTGTCTCTTTGTGACAATATTTTAATCTCATATCATTTCTTCCCCTTCATTGCCTCTTTCCCCTTATTTCCACCGGGTGACGGTAGATGGGGAGGGTCACAATCTCCTAATGACATATCTATTTGTTGAAAAATAAAATTACAAATAATAAGTAAAATTAAACATATAATTAAAAAATAGACAATGAAACAAATTTAGGACATCACTTTTATATATAATTATGATTAAGTAATACACTTTGATATCAAAATCATAAACTTCAAATCCAATTTTTCTAATCCTATTCTGAACTGTAGTCTTCAAAATCATCATCAAATTCTCTTTCTTTATTATTTTCTGCTAAATCATTTTCTTCTTCATTCATTTGCTCATTGACTTCTTCAAGATCAGCTTCTAAATCCTGTAATCATGTAATTCCTTTAACTTCAATGATTTCATTAGCTTAAACATCTAAAGTGTAGTTTGCTTTTGGCTTTAATATCTTATTGTTATTTTGTAGCTTCAAGTCCAAGTCTTTTCGTCTACAATACAAACCTAAGTCTTTCCTTGCATTTTCATTGTCTTTTGTCTTGCCAATTACATTCATCACAATGTTGAATATGTTGTCAAAGAGATTTTTTTATGTGCATAACATCGAGGTTGTGTCTCAACAAATGTCTTTCCAATATGGAAGATCCCAAAAGATACTTCTTTTTGTCCAATTATGTCATTGTACATGTCCGTCTAGTGTACGCACACCATCTTCTATGACTTTTGTTAAATTCATGACTCTATGCCAAACTTGTTAAGGAGTCAACATAGGTGGTGGCCCATCCATTTCAACTTCACCCTTTCTGAAGGCATTCTTGTTCCTCCTAAATGCATGATCGCTAGGTAAAAATCTACAATGTGAGTTAAACCATGAAGGCTTAATTCTATTTCTTAAACTAAAGGCTTTTGCATGTTCCATGCAATAAGGACATGCAAATCTACCATGAGTGCTCCAACCAGACAACATGTCAAAAGTAAGAAAGTTATTAATAGTCCACATCAAAGTTTTCCTCATCATGAAATTTTGCTTCCTTGAAATGTCATATGTTAGAACACTATTCAATAGCATTTTCAAGTCGCACATTGTGTGGATTAAAGGTGAAATCTAGATTAACTCAATCAAAATGCTTCTAGGCTTCACTGTCAAATGGATGATGTAATATGCTCAAACTTCTTTTACTCTCATAGTGGCACGTCATTTGTGCAACAGTTTTCATTAAAGCAAACATACTTTGTAAGCTTGGAATTATAGACAAATAGAACATGGCCTTAATTGGAATTGGTTTTTTAGTAGTTGTTCAAGTGTTATGGCTCTAATACCTAGGCTTATGGAAAAATCAGCATTCACTTAACTCTTTGTCATTTTTTCTATATTCATTGTCAAAAAAAATAACATGCAATCATTGACACAACAATCAATCCTCTTAGTCTTCAATCCCAACTTTGATACTAACCTCTTTGCATCATAATACACAATGAGATACTAAAATGGTTAACCTTTTTACTAATAAATAAAATTTACTTCTACAACTTTTTCATTTTTGCAAACAAATTCATTTCTCACACAATAACCATTCAAAATATAGAATAAATTCACTAAAATAAATTCAACATAAGAAACTATAACAAAGAAACAATGTTATAGAGAAATTAATAATAAGGATTAAAATAATTATAAAAAAAACTATAAGTGTAACAATTAAAAAAATCAAACTAAACTATAAGGATTGAAAAGAATTAAAAAATAAATAAGTTTCTAAATTATCTTTTAATTTTGTCTCTCCTCGCTAGATATATTGTTATTTCTTGTTTGTGGTTGGTGAGTTGCATGGAGGG